TGGCATGTCCGGATGTGCTTCCACTGCTTAGCACTAAAGTTCGCGGGCCACGCTGGAGCCGCAAAGCTGACCACAGGCCGACCTATCGCGTTATAAGAGGTCAACAAGGTTTCCTTGTCCGCACCCCAAGTGCTGCCGGCTAGCGCTTTGAGGATCTTGTTCCTGCTGATGGTTGGCAACTGGATAGCTTCCTCTAATGCTGGGGTGGAGTAAAGCCTCAAGAGTCTTAGCTACTGGCGACAAAAGCGAAATCGGCCTGTACGATTCGCCTTTACTGACATCCTTACCTGGCTTCGGTAGCGGGACTACCCGGCCCATTTTCCAGGTTCGGGCACTATGTGGGCGACATATTGAGAACTTTCGTTAGGTACTCGACTCCCGGCGTATCCAGCTGTTTCAACATTACCATTGAAATTCCGTCTGGGCCCCGGATGACATTTGCAACATCAACCATCGTAAACTGTGGTGGTTCCTCCTCGATGGGAAGAGATCTGATACGACTTAGTACTCTTCGCTACGAAAGTGTGACAGAGGTCCTATCATCACTGTAGTCTCGCAAACATGTACATACTGGGTCGTAGAACCCGCTGCCGTGGGATTGCATTCGTTGGTGGACGTTGGCATCGGATCCAACGATGAGATTGCCCCTTTCTTTCCCAGCGCCGTGAACAGATTCTCTACTCCCTCCAGTCTTTCGTATTTTCTACTGAAAACTCTGAAGAGACTAATAGATATTGAGATCATATTTACCTTTGACCTCGATAAGCACAGCTCAACATACCTACATGAAAGGCAAATCTGTTGAAACAGCGCAGCATGAGTGAAAAATCTGAATGAATTTTGATTCACGTTGGAAGCCTTTCTTGACATAGAGGGGACATTCAAAAATCTCACGCAATTCATGGTTCCCTTACAAAACTTAGTATACCACCATCTACCCGGTCAATCTTCGAGTAGCAATCATCGACAAGGCTGAACCGGAAGGTAAAATCAGCTACAGCCGATGGCTGCTATTCGAAGATGGACTGAAGGAGCTTGTCTTTACTGTTTTACTATTACTATTTTCTATTGAAAATACTGAAGAGACTAATAGATGTTGAAATAATATCTACCTTTGACCTCGATAAGCACTGCTCAACATGCCTACACGAAAGGCAAATCTGTTAAAACAGCGCAGCATGACATCGTGAGTTTTGTGGAGTAGAATCTGAATGAATTTTGATTCACTTTGGCAGCCTTTCTTGACATAGAAGGGGCATTCAAAAATGTCACACTTGAGGCAATTCATGGTTCCCTTACAAAACTTGGTATACCACCACTCCTAATTGAGTGGATTGATGTTATGCTCAGTAGCAGAATCATCAACACAAGAATCGGGGTGTTCTCTATTAGAAAATCGGTTATTTGGGGTACCCCACAGGGAGGTGTTCAGCCACCGTTACTCTGGCTTCAGGTGATAAACGACATACTAAAAGATCTGGAACATGACAGAACAGAAGTCGTGACAGGGAGCTCGTTATAAACATTCTAGATGGGAACGAACGGTGTGAACCAATTCAAAACTGTGCTTGCACTTTTTACAAGGAAACCGGAAATCCCAGATTTTTCGTTACTTTTGCTGGATAGAGTTAGGTTAAGCTTTTCAATGGAAGTATCGGTAACGTCCTTGACAAAAAATTAAATTGAAAAAGGAATATTGAGGAGCGGGCGATGATAGGGCTTAATCGCACTTTATTCTTACAAAAAATCCATATGGAAGAGCTGGGGACTTATGCCGCATATAATCAAATTGCTATATGAATCAGTTCGTCCAATTCTTAATTATGAAGAGGTAGCAATCTTTAGCCAAAAATACCTTTAGCAAAAGTATTTATAAAGTCCAAAGAGTAGAATCGTTACTAATTACAGGTGCGTTAAGGAGCACACCCCAATCTGCATTCGACATCCCAATCATCGACTCAACTTAAAACCCTTTTTGTAGAGGAACATGCTGTCAGCTAGGCCAATGGCGGATGCAGTCCCTGCAGAGTGCCCTGTCATTCTTAAGAATGTGGAGAACATAGAAGGTCGGAATA